TGGGGGTTGAGGTAATCCTCTTGTACGCCATGTGCAGAAAATAGAGCATAACCTCCAGCAAAGCAGTACCTTCAGATTCAACAACTTTCCCACTTCCCCACATTGAACCTGCCGCCCTCTACACCTAAACTCGCTCGTATTCCCCTTTCAGTGGATGAAGCGACTATACCTCCGTTTAGAGGTAAGTGGGATTGGGTGATACTTGCACTGCGGAATACTTACTGAATTGATTTAACAGAATGTCTCCTGACGCCGCTCCTCCCTCGCTGTCGAAGAAGTTAGCCTGTTCATCTTCTGGAACGTCTTAGCAATGATATCTCTGATATGGGTTAAAACCAAACAATTATTTATGTGGCTGTCTGAAGCTTTTGGGAAGATGGGATGATAAAATAGCGAGTATTTATCTTATCTTTTTAACATACTCATCTAAATTCATGCAGGTTGATATTGATATTGATATTTCTTACCAATGATTCGAAACTAATCCCTTATTTATACTTTGTTCATGTCGTTCACCGCATCTTTGACTTCGAGTTATCATTGTTCGAGTTATCATTGACGTTCGTTCCTGGCGATAATGAAGAATGCAAGGGCAAAGCGTGGTTCCATTTTCATACATCATTCAAATTGTGCTTGACCTTCCGCTAATGTTGTCAAGGTACTTACCACTTGCATGCTTGTAGGTTTTCTCAGCCTCTATAATTATCTGGTAAATCCCATAAACACTCGAAAATAGAAAATTCTGTTTCTGGCTTTCCGGTCTTCAGTTGTGGTTCTCGAGTTATCCCGCTCCCCATCCCACAACTTTTGATATCCTTTACCTACTTCTCTCTCTCCCTTCCCCTTCCCCCAAAGCTTATGACCGAAAAACGACCTTGCCACCGTTGGAAACGACAACAATCCTAGCAGACATTAAGAATCTTCTCATCCATGAAACGTCCTTGGTTGGTGAATTAATTGATCAGCATCAAGTTTTGACATAATTTCCAGTTGTAAAATTTTATAACGGCCTTCCCTGTATCTCATTGTCCATCCCATTACATATTGTTCAGCTTTTCTTGATACATAATGGACAGGAAACTAGACACTTAATAATATGTCGTTTAGGCGAGGAACCCACTAAGGAAATACACCAGAAACCGTATGCTATTCGATAATAATATTATAATTTTTGAACACCGAATTTTTTTTCCCTATTTACATTTACATTGATATTTAAACTAAATAAAGCATATATCCTATTATACAAAATCATGGATATATTATATAATCGCCTGACTTGTAGAATTTGAATTTCAAATAACTAGTTTATTATTTTATTTATTATTTTATTTTATTTTTTATATTGTTTTTCTAAATATTGTTTTGAAAATTTTGTGTATATAAGAGACGTTCTCGATCCACCTCCAACCCATCCTTTACATTTGCCCACTCTGACTTTAACTGATCATTGACAATCATGTCATCATCATCATCATCTCCAAACTGCTACTACTCTTCCTCATACCCATCTTCATCGTCTCCTCCATCAAAGACACCTGGTGCACCATACATGAAAACAATCTCATTACCACCAGTCGAAGATGACAAGTACTACCACTATTCTTCTATAAACTCTTCCCCCCGTTTGTTTTTATTACATCTCGCTTTATGCGTGCGTGTACCTGATAAAAAATCTTCTAGAACGATTGCCTACCCCACCACCGACACCAGGACCGACAAGACAAAAACAACATGGGGCAGCTGGCTCAACCTCTTATTACACCTCTTCAAGGGGATAGTGTTAGGAGACGTTTTTGACAAAAAAACCGAGTTATGATGCAAATGTTTGAATTACCAACCCACCCACTCCTCTTCTCTCTTGGCGTTGTCTTTACACTCGACGGTCGCTCACATAAATTGTTTTTCAAATCTTTGGTTTTTCCCTTAGCCTTTTCATTTCATTGATACACTGGCATATCGGAGTGGTGCCGGACAAAATAATTATTAATTACAAGGATCACGAGTCAAACAACAACATTTATTTATACTGAAGTATCGCATAGTTCATTCCAACCTCATACGTCCTTGTCCACTAGTGCCTTTTGACTCTTGGTGTGCATGGATAAGGTTGACTGTTGGAATGGCCCTTCGTCTTCCATCTTCTTTTTGTTTCATTGGTTACAATCCCGAATAGATTATACTAGTATAATGTAATATTTGTTCGGTTTGTATTCTTGTTATACTAGTACCTGCCTAAGACAAAACACAAAGCGTAGACATTATGAGCGGCACATTTATCATCGGCACATCCAAAAGTCACTCACTAACCAGCAATAAACCTGAACTAGAAGCATGTAAGTTAACGCCACACTTATCGACGATCGTTAGCAGTGAAGAAAAAACACTTGGCAGATTCATCGGTGGATGACATAACCCGCTTATTAACTTTCTACATTGAATGATTGGAAAATCATATTAACCGTCCTTTGAGACATCATCGGGTCCTCCGGTCAGAGTTTTGCAGACTGCGACACCGAAAGTGTTACTACTTATACCACGAATGGGACGCTACGCCGACTCCGACCCGATCCTTCAAGAATATAGTTTCAAACAACAACAAAAAGGGGTAATCCTTTTCTGGACATGTGAATGTTTAAAGTGGTGAGGTCGAACGGCAATTCGGAGAAAAGCTGACATACATTTGGTTTCGATAATTTTCAATTCAAACTCATATATGCCATTTAAGACAGAGCTGCTATCTTTTAGTATATCAACGCCCCTCATATAGTTCGTTTAAGTTTTTTGACAAATATTACAGGCACGTCCTGCCTTAGGCGCTCGTCTGCGAATAACGGCAGCACATGAAGATGTCACCAGTGCTAAAAGGATTTCCCATCCGGCGTCCCCGCCTCGAGCTCATATACCTTCTTATAGAGTTTATTTCGTCGCATGCTGAGGTCACTTTTACTATATCATATAATCTACACTTATATGTGCTCATTAAACGTAAGGCTTGTCGTTTGGGCGTATCAGTCGAGTCGTAGACTCATCCTGAGTCATCCTCAGTCACAAGTTCCTTTTTACCTTGCTCAATTATTTATAGAGGACTCGTCGCCAAGGGAAGGAGAAGGAAATAATGGTTTTTTAAAGTTTAGTCAAGGTTCTCGTCATCGGATCAGTTTAAGTAATGACAAGCAAAGGTATCTTTTGATAAAGCAAATTATTTGGCTGGAAATCCCGCCACTCGGCTGGATTATGTTTACAGTTCTTGATTCGTTCAAATGATCAATCCCATTGGAAAGCCAAGTAACACCGGTGACGAGACGGAGTTTACGAAATGGAGTGAAATTTCGATCAAATTTTAATGTCCATCTGTCCAACCAAATATAACAAACGGGTTTTTATTGAACGGCGTCGGCGGGAATATGTCAGTGGAATCACAAATGTTCAATGCGAATCACGAATCGAATTCAAAACTTCCTTTTTTGGAGAGAATACTGGATTTAACAACCCTTTTTTTTTAAAAAAAAAAAGATGTAAAAGACAGATAATCCCTGTTGGTGATCCTGTAATTTGTAATACAAGAGACCAGTCGGCTCCATTCATAAGATGCTATAGAGGCTGTAGAGAACCCCCAGCGACTTCTTTCAGATGCGATAACTCCGAGAGCTATAGTGCGTAATAGTATAACACCTACCCAGCCGTGACGGGTATGGCTGCGGAGCCAAGCAACATTATTTGGCTCAAGTAAGAAGTACATTCTTCTGGACCTCTTCCTCTCTTCTTACCCCTAGAAAATATTACCTCAATTCAGATGCACTATCCTGCTGCGCAGCTGATTACACTAGTTTCTTTGCTAGTAAAATCTCCCTTGTCCCTTTTTTATGATCGTTTTTTCGGCTCCCAGTTTAGTTTTTAAGGGTTCTTTTCCAAGTTATATTTGGGACTATATTTAGTCAAAATCAAAATGGATTTGACGGGCTCATTCCCAAGACATTGCTCTATTTTTGCTTGGACGGATCCCGTGGACGACAACGGTAGACATCATGTCTCTGAGCATATACTATGTATCAACATTTAAGGTTTACATACCTTCTGTTCGGCTTGTTTTATAATATCTTTCTCCAGACGTCGCTTGAAATATCAGCGCTTTTTTGCCCATCAACAGGTACACCGCATACGGGTAGTAGAAGCTCCACCAATGGCAGACCGTTACCATAACGGGGTGATTTCGAGCGATTTTAGGGCCTTCGAGACATTTTGGGCTGTTAAGAGGATCACTGGACTTTCAAAAATTTGACTCCCCGCTATCACGTAACTTTGAATCCTGAAAAATGCATTCATCTTGGTAGTGGCAATTACAAAAAGTTGAATTTATTTCCCGAACTATCGTGCGTCAATAAAATTGAAGATGATCCGGAATCCATACCAGAACGACGGTCTTGCAATATCCACAGAAAGATTGGATCTACCTGCCATCGCACACGTAGGTCGCAATCAAAGGATCATACTTTCATTGTTCCTACACGCAGGGCGTTGTTCAATAATTTGCACAGCACATCTGAGAGCTTGTTATGTAGTTCTGTGTTCGGTGTTGTGACGGATCCTCAAAGCAGAGAAATGTAATGTCCGATTTCGAATGTTGGTTGTTGTTGTTGAAAGTATCTGCTCTTAGAAGAACATTTGACAGCATCATGAGAGTTAACAAAACAAAAAAAACGTCGATTTGAATACCTCCAAAAGTAACACTTCAGGACTAATGCTTACGACATCTAAATCCAGATAATGGCCCACCAAAATATTGATTTCGGCTTTTTGGGAAGATTTGGTTCAAAGAAACAGTCATTTTGTAAAAATGTGGATGAGATCGCAATGAAGGATTATAATTAAAAAGACTCTCAGGAATGAAAGATCCTGCGAGATAACGATAACGTAAACAAGTTTAGTACAGTCTTAAAGTGATCATACCTGAATGATGTCTCCACATTCCGAAGGAATTGAGTAACTTACATATTTTCGTCATTAGCTAACAGTTTAGGGGTATAACATTCGTTTTGCATACAAAAAATCCTGGGTTTGACTCCCAGAGCGACACTAAATGAGAGGAGGACATTTAAATTGTTATCGGTTTTACATTCAACGTTCGTATTACCAGTGCTAGTGAAGAGTCGTCTCTACTATTTTGCCGATGGGGAGAGGCGTCTGACTGTTCACTTTTGCTGAATTCCGCGGTTCAATCCAGAACAAGAATACATCACTGAAGGTTTATACTCATTAAAAGGCAGTTCCTGCGCGACAAACTACTCTAAGATCTAACATCGAGGAACTTGAATTCGGAAACGGAAACGAAACGTCGAACAAAAGGACTGTGCAGAACATAACGCCGTCACCAGATAGAAACGTGGAGAAAGTTGACAGCGTACTAGAAGAATGTAGGCTTAACGAAACTTAAACTCTGGGATTAGTCGAAAAAGGTAAAATTCGTCGAGAATAGCGTGAACGTTGAGACGAGGAAGAGGCGCGTCCACTAAAGCAAGTGCTACATACTTCGAGAGAAGTCTGCAAGGACCAGAGAGATATCTTCACATTTCGTTTCCCAGAGTTCTCCGAGGCGGGCTGCAATGTACAAGTGGTGGTTGGAACATCGTGACGCTTTCGTCGCTGATCAATACGCGCGAACGCCGAGGAAACAACAACTAAGCATAGTCACGTGACGCTTACTAATGCCTTTATCTACTTGTCCTCTTCCACGTCGTTCTGGATGTCCAGACTCATCTCAGGAGAGAACCTTGGACAAAAAGCTCTTTCGTAACTTTCAATTGAAATAGGATTGTCTGAATGTGATCAAGGCGATGATTTGGTCACTCCCAGTTCAAAAGCGTTGCATCGTATTGTGGGCTTCAGGCTTGCGTAAATGTTTGAGTCAGGGAATGATAAATTTTTAACGAACGAGTGGTATTTTGCAGCAGATTCTTAATTTCTTGTGAAGAATGGTGAATGGTATGTCTTATTCAATTCTCTAGTATGCAGTTCAGTATATAGGTACAAGATTTTCAGCTATATCATGGTTTTTGGAATATATGAAGTTTCCTTTGGGTATATTTTGAGAATATCTACTTCTCCCACATCAGTTACTACTGTCCCTAAGGACTCTAAAACTCCCGGACACAAACACAACACGTTGGCGACCCACGATGACTTATCAAAGTTTAATCTTGACCAACGACGTTTGTGTGCATAATCACAGTTCCTTGCACTGTCTCGCTATCCTCTCTTGTAAGGTGGGTGAATTTCCAGATAATTACCATCAAATCTAATTTTCACGTCAGACAGTATCCCGTTCTCTCTACCTGTTCACTAGCTATATCAAGAACTGAAGTAACTGGTCGTTAGTCATACGGATTCATTCTTCTCCCCTCCCGATAAGACGTGAATGATTATTCAATTTATATTGTTTGTCATCTACGACTTTCTCCTCGAAACAGGTATGCCCATTCCGCGGCCCAAAATCATCTTTTGACGACTCGTTCAAAAATCAAGTTCCCTCATCGCGACTTATACACCGGGTGGGACTCCGAGTTTTATCGAATCGATAGGATGCATCACAACATGTATATTTTGCTACTGGTCACTCGTTTAATTGTCTTGTTTCGATTTCACTCATTGTTCAAGGAGGGCTTGAAAAAGGCCGGACATGCCAATATCCGCCTTGTTAATCTCTCGTCCAAGACCCCATGTGTAGTCCACATCTTCTACCTCATTCCTTCCTTCCGGACAAGTGGAGCATGGGATTACCGACTTTACTCAAAGATACAGCACATAAAATCCCACCGATGTTGAATCGCCTGGTTATGTGAGAGGCACTCGCAATATCATTTACTAATTTACTTATTCTAATTAGGCTTACTGTTTCTTACTGTTTGTAATGACGATTTAACTGGAACCAAAGTTTCGGTCGTGCTTGACCTTGTTGTCAGACGAGTCGTGAACTCACCAAACAAGTCATTATCCGATTCGATTATGTGGAGAGAAATTATCTCCGAAAAATTTCTGGCTTACTGACAATTTTCACCGAATTGCCATTCATGGGCTCGAATTTAATAGAAGCCGAAAATGCCATACTCGGCTGTTGTGCATACGTCCATTGATTCGTTAGATCAAACAATCAAGACAACCAAGACAACCAAGAGTTGTAAAGCTGATAACGTAAAATTTTTAACTAGATCCTCGAACCGGAGTAGAGTTTTGATCCAGGTCTCATTATCTGCCAAGCCTGTCCGCCCCAAATGCCAAACGGCCTCCCGTCGAACGGCATCCAATCAAAACGGCATCCAATCAAAACGGCATCCAATCAAAACGGCCGATTGTTTGTTATTAGGTCCAATAATCATTACCTAACACATCGGAAAGAGCCAATCCACGGCAATATAACCAGTGAGGAAGCTGCATCAGTCACTAAACCTTTTTAGTCCATATGCTCATGTTTATTAGCTTTTTTGTCAAAGCGTACCTCGGACCCGGTGATACATATACACCATCTTCGCAACTAGTCGGATACAGGTACACTTTTTCCTGCCTTCTTTCGTAAGTCATACACATTTTACTCGTCCGCAGCTGATTACTCCAATTCGCCACCTCCTTGTCCCTTTTTGTTATTGTTTTGGGCTTCTAGCGTACATCTTGAAAAATTGGGCCTCAGAGTTGTTATCCGGTTAAGTGGAAGTTATATGAACAACCACATCGGCTCATATGTCAAAGCACCATAATACCTCTCGGCTCGGCATGTCTCATTTGTGAGTAATAGTGGTTAACTCTAATCAACGGCAACGGCATACTTCATCTCCCCGTAAGCATATATTAACATTTAAGCGTTTATATTTATATTTTATTAATTTTCTTTTCAGACATCGCCCGGCAGGCTGGCGCCTTCGTGCATGTTCAACCCGGATAATGAAATATCAGGGGAGTGCTTAAGACAATTAATTAACGGCTTTTTAACCCACACTGAAGAAAGGACTCGCACAGGGGGGGAATTATGTTTTGAAGGGGTGACTCAGACTGAGTCAGAATCTCTCAGTACATTTCAAACTGTTGAGAGAACCAACGGTCCGGTTATACTTACTACTAATGTTCTCATTTCTCTTTGTCGTGTGATTAAAACTCAATAGGGGTGAGTTTAGTTTAATTTCTAAGTTATGTGTTTCAAGTTTTGACGAACCCGAAGATGACCCGTACTAGAATGGGCCTGCCACCACCACCGACAAGAAGGGGGTGTATACATAACACATTCTACGGCGTAGTATATCTCTGCTCGCGATCAATGATGATGGGCAATTGACCGTAGTGAGCAGCTTGGCCGCAGCGAATGGGCGAACAAGTGCGTTCACATCCATCTGTTATAGGATTCAGTGACTTCTTTAGTCACTCCCCGAAAACAAAAGTGTGGAGCATTTTCAAATCGGAAGTGCATGCCAATTTTTATTACGGCTCAGGAACACGAAGCGTAGTGCGAGGTCTTATTATATGCCGAGGTCCAATACTGTCGAGATTATATTGACACAAAACCCGCCTCAGGATATGCAATTATCACGATTACCGATTTTTCAATTCGTCTCGCTCCCAATGATCCAATATTCACTATTCTAAACCGAGCATGATTTTGGATATATCACAGGTGTTTTTTTTTTCGTGCGCCGCTGGGCGATATGGAAAAGAAGCTTGCCCTAATCGGAAAAAAATAAGCCAGCGCCCAAGTTACAATGCGATCCGAAAGTCAAAATACCATAATTGCGCCGTGTGAATTTATAAGCCAGTGATGCGGAAACGGAACTCTCAATAAGCTCCGATATCTCGCTGGACAGATTGCCAGGACATACATATCCCATGAAGATGGTTCAGAACCATGTACTGATACGGTTGCTGGTACCGTGCTTCATGACGGACTTATCCTATAATTAAATAGTCGTTCATTGGTTAAGGGGGAGGTGTAAATCAAGATTATATTGTTCAATCGACATGTTTATAAGACAGATAATGTGGGTTTCCTGCAAAGGCTAACCTTGCCACACAAAATAACCATGTCGTTGAAGAGTTATAGCGCAGTAATACATTCTATTTAATTACACAAAATAGAATTGGAAACTGTTACTGTATCAGAGCCACACGTGAGCCAGGACTTGTATAGCAAATCAAGCATCTTCCTTCAGACCCATACAAACAAATAATTAATTGTGACGACGAAGAACAAAAATAAACTTTGACAAGAGACAAAAAAACAAGCTTTGAAAATTTAGATACATCTGGAAAACAATTTATAGGGATAGGGATAGTGTTAGTGAATAGGGAGTTGAAGCTAACGAGGTATCAGACATACTCACTATTTTAAGTGCCATTTTCTATGGGATTATTACCGTAAACGAACGATCTCAAACTTGAACCTATGAGTCCTTGTTTGACCGCTTTTGTGGAACACTTGAAAACAATTGAAGTGAGTCGGTCACTCGAGGAGAGGATGGAGGTGTTGGGAGGTGTTCTTCAAAAATGATTTAATAACCACTCGTATACTCGGTGTACTAGACCTACATACCTTTAAACGGCACTGGAAATGGATATACGTCCGCACCTACGTCTGGGAGAGGGATACAAGGGAGTCTCGGTGTGGGTGGCTGAATCAAGGAGTGTTTTAAAGAGGTCAAGTCCCTCGTCACTGTTTTACTCGATGAAATACTCTGTTTCGAGGACATAGAGAAGGGAGGGACTGTGACTTCTGATGAGATGGAACTTGAGGAGGGAAGTACGTGACAGGTATCGAAAGCTGAGAGCAGTGCGATGGGAGAAGTGAGGGAGGGTTGAAGGTAAAGAATCTGTCCATATCAAACAATGCCGCCTATTTATTTATAAGGGGGGTGAGGATGAGAAGGAGCCGAACTCCTGGCATTTATAATTTATTATCCTAGAACCACAACTTATAAGATATACCCACGAATGATCCGGGTATCATGTATCTTATATGTATCTAACTCTTATCAATGGCGGATTACCGAAGTATCATCAGCCTGACTCGTGTCTCCTTTAAAGGGGCCGAAAATCTTGAA